CCTCGGGGTGATTTGTTGTATGACACGCTGGAAGGTCGCTCTCGTAAACCGCGTGTACTCCCTGAACTTCTCGTCGTGCTCCGTCCCCTGTATGTTCAATTCCTTCCGCATCCCCCCATACCGGCAACACACCCAAAAACGTTGTCTTCCTCGTTGTGGAAGATCAGGCAGCCCGTCAGCACACCCCCTTCACAACACTGATAAGCCAACATTGGCCCAACAACAAGACCACCATTGTGGCCTTCGGCATGCAAACCCAGCTTGTCACCATTTGCATCGCCATGACGGCAGCTATGACAGCCACATGCTCCCTTAAACGCAACCAACGAATGATGACAGCAAGCAACATAGCAATTTGCACGGGTGTCATGGCTACACACTCACGTGTCGTATCCCCGTACAGGAGCAGACACGCGCGAGGCCCTCATGCATATCAGCGAGCACACCAATGTGGCGGCTTCTCCAAGTCCAATTCCACGTGTGCGACGTAGCACCAGAGCGCTAATGTGGAGTCTACTCAGGAGGGACAACCGCAATGCGGGGTCTACTCAGCACCCCCCCAGTTACCGCATGTGCAAGCCTGCCTACTTGCGAGATGGCTGTGCGCAAACTTCTTGCTCCTACGGCCGCGAACGGACAAATTCCACAGTTCGGGCTCAGGTGGTCCCGTTCAGGGGAAAGGTGCTGCCAGGCTGCAGATACAAAGAAAGTACAATAATGGCCCGGGGTGTGTCGGCAACAGCGCCTGCCTTCAAAAGCCGCACAAATACGCCACTCGGCCTGGACTTGTCGCCCACCACACCGGCTTCTGTCCACCTTCAAAGGCCTGGAGCTCCTGGTTCCGACCTCGCCCACAACATTTCACTGTGGTGCCCGAACTACCTCTGTTCTGCGGTCTTCCGTGGGTTTCAATTTTTTTTTTCTTACATCCCGTGGGGCCGGCCACCGCTCTTTCGACGAACACGGGACTCTCAGGTAGGATTATTTTGTAATTATCTAGGTTTTAGAGTCCTACCTGCTGTTTGTAACAGTTGGTCCCGTGAGCGACATTTTTAGACTTGTTGGTTGTTGCCTCTTTTTTTTTTTTTACCAAGGAAAACAACCTGAGCAGCTGCTAGGGGTGCTGATAGGAGCAGACACCACTAGCACCGTCGGGGAGGCTCCATCTATTTGTGGTGCGCAGCACCTGCTGGAAATTGGGTCCAGAGTCCCTGTAGAGTACAATGTAAGAAACGAAAGTAGTGCAGAAATGAGTTGTCAGTATGCATGAGGGGCTGGGCGGTGAGGGGCCCAGCACTCTATCAGACCTGTTTTAATGGAGCATTCAGCGAGCTATCGCTTATGGTGTTGTTATTGTGACCTGTTGACTGTCAATTACTATCTATCTACTTGTTGCCTTATGCTGTTGTGTCTGTGTCTTCTTCCCTGTTCTGAGTCTAGATGTAGTCCGTCGTAGGGAGCAGCCGGTCACCGGCAGTGGACAAAAAGTTGGGTTTCGATGTTCGTTGGGTTCTTTTTTTTCCTTTGAGACAACTGTGCCTGTGACCGGTGCAGAGTTCCGAATTCACAGAAATAACTGCAGGCTGCAGGTCCAGGCAAAGAGCAGTTACAGACTGCAAAAAAATAAAAAACTCAGCCGTGACCCAGTCACGGGCGTGGCCTAGTGTTACATCTTCGACGCCACACGGGTCCTACCGGACCCGACTTAGGGCCAGAGGGACACAGTAGGGCCTAAAGGCCCGACCTTGGGGTACTACAGGCCGTAAAGGCCTCATCTTGGACCAGACCCGACGGGCAGGCCCAAACGACATTACCGTTTGGGCCTGGCGGCGCTCTTGAGGCTGCCGCCCGCCAGTTGGGGCTGAACCGTCCATCTTGACGGTTCAGGGCACGGCCAGGCCTCGCAGCATAGAGGCCGGCCTCTGCCCCACCGGTTCAAAAGTACCGGTCCAGCCTCAGTTCGTCATCGAACCACCGGCACTCTACCGGTGCGTTATGGTCTAGCGCCAGAGCGCTAGCGCTAATCTTAGCGCAGGAGCACGAGGAGCAGCAGCAGCGGCGGCATCGCAGCAGCGGCAGCGAGCGGAGCAGCAGCAGCGGCGACTGAGCAAGATCGGCGGCCATAGCCGCCTGAGGTATCGGGAGCCGGAGGTTCTCTCCTCCCTCCCGTCGTCAGTCCCCTCTCTCTCTCTCTCCTCCTCGACTCTCTTCTTCTCCCTCTTCAGATTTCTTCTTCTTCTTCTTCAGACTTTTTCTTCTTCTTCTTCAGACTTTTTCTTCTTCTTCTTCAGACTTTTTCTTCTTCTTCTTCAGACTTTTTCTTCTTCTTCTTCAGACTTCTTCTTCTTCTTCTTCAGACTTCTTCTTCTTCTTCAGATTGGAGACTTCATACTAGTTGGACAGAGATCAGTGTTGGACTTCGGTGGTATGAGGCTGTGGTAYTTACCGGATTCRAGAYTTGGAGATTGTTGGGGTTGATACTCGGCGGCATCACAGTTCGGACACYGGTTACATTTGGAYTCTGTAYCTCCGACATKGGTGACTTATTGTCCTCGACATTTTGATCTTGTTTGATGACATTTTGGACTACCATATCGGTGACCTATCGGATTCTATCTCGGTGACCTTCGGTGCTGTCTACCTCCCCCACCTCGTTCGTCTCTCCTCCCACCTTTCATCTGTGTATGGGTGTACGGGGCCTGAGCATCTTCCATGTATGGCTCAGACCCCACCATCTCACGATTGTATGTGTGTGGAGTGATGTCTGTGTGAGTCAGTCTATGTGAGTCAGTCCGTTATCAGACTTCCGCTGCATACATGCTCATCCTATATTGGTTGATCTTTGGTTCTGCCCCATACTCGTTGATATTCTCACGAGTATGTAACACCTAGACATCTCCCAGTCACGGGCGTGGCCTAGACATCTCGGGCGAGGCCTAGACATCTCGGTCGTGGCCCAGTCACAGGCGTGGGGGAAAGAAAAAGGGAAATTTTGTCTGGCGCCCCTGTAATTTCCATCATTTTGCGTGGTGCCCCTCCAACAGCCCACTTACCCTGCCGTGCCCTTGGGGCTGCATGCCCCTGTCAGCAAGGGGCAGAACTTTCCGAGGTGCCCTTACTGGACGGCCATTCTCATTTCACCGGTCCCTGTGCGATACGCCCTCATGAGCGGAATACATCTTTCCATCATGCCCTCGTGCCAGAAATTCGGATTTGAAGCACAGGGTTTTTGTGGCACTGCCGCAAAAAATGACCGTGTGTGTGTGTGTGTGTGTGTGTGTGTGTGTGTGTGT